AAAATGGCGGCAATGTTTTGCGAGGAGTAACCAACTGCATTGTGCATGGAATGCTTCATGGAGTATCATACTGTTAACAAATATTACATTTAGGAACCTTTGATGAGTAAACGCGACTAAATCTCTCATACGTAACATTTTATTCAACTCCGGACGTTGTCAATCCCAGTCGGGTGGTGTGTGCGCGACTTTTGGAAACCTATACAAGCGTGGACTGTACATTATCGCAGGGATATATGAGACACTCTTCTGTCCGAGGCGTGTGTTTATATATCTATCTGTGGCACCTTGCATTATTAGAAATATTCATAGAAATATGATTTAATTTTTTTTTTACTCGGTTTACTAAACAGGTTGTTGATTTTTTTTTTAACGGAAAATAATTGAGTTGAAAATAATTCACTAAGATTGTACTTAGACGATCCTAAAAAAAGAAAAGAAAGAAAGAAAAAAAAAAAAAGAAAGAAAGAGAGTTGGATGATGCATGACCCAGTCATAAGCGAAGATAAGTGTCAGAAAGATATCTTGGCCTGCGTGTGGCCGAATTTTAAAGGACAATAGAGAATTGTTATTTGAAATGAAAAATCATTAAGAGGGAGAAAAAGAACCAGGCTTGATGACAGTGTTTTGGCAATTGATAAGAAAATCGGTCAAAGCACCTAGCCTACTTTTGCGTGGAAAGACTCATTGTCAAATTGGAGAAAGGGAAATTCTTTTTAGAACAATAGAAACGAAATTTTTTTAATCGGAGAAAAAGTGTCTTTTGGGTTGAGGGGAGTGACCGGTGGAACTATATACAGATTCTGACCTATTAAGAATTGGAAACCCATGATAACAAAGTGGGGACATTTTCAATGTAGATAATTAAGATTTTCTGACTGTCGGGTCTGACAAAAACAAGAGGTGAAAAAAACGATTGTCTCAGTTCACAGATAGCGCCAATATTCTTCCCTGAAGTCACATCTAATTAGCGGCAGGCTGTTTTGACAGAGCCCAGGTGAGAAAAAAAGCCAAGATTGTCATTTTTCGTACGTGCAAAAGGGCAAAATTGGATTTTGTTTTTTTAAAACAAGAACGATGTAACCACGCCCGAAAAGAAAGGAGAAAGGATGCTCGATCAATGACAATTGGTCGGAAACGGTCACGTGGCATACGGGGAGAGGAGGAGAAATGCTCGATCAGGAACCATTGGTCGAAAAACGGTCACCTGACATACGAGAGACTAAGAGATGGGTGTGCGCCTCCCCACCAAAAGGCACTGTGAGGAAGTAGGGGTGAAAACAATAGCGATAATGGGAAATCAAAAAATAATGCGACTTTTGGAATTATCGAGAAAACCCTGACGCCGACAGACCCACCCCAGTTTGTTGCGGCGTCAATAAAAGCAGGACCCCAGTCGACAGAAATCAGTTGGAGTGGAGTTGCAGCTGGACCGCGGGCATGGAAAGAGCCTGAACGCGGGCATCGGGCCCGATTCACTCGCCCCTTTGCGGGCAAAAGAATCCTCAGACAAGAAATCCTTCCAGCCCAAGTCGAAGACAGAAGAGTTCAGCCCCGGACGGCAGCGAGAAGAGATCACCTCGGACGACAGAGAGTTGCAGCTGAGTTGCGGCAAGAAATCCTTCCAGCCCAAGTCGAAGACAAGAGAACTTCCAGCCCAAGCAGACGAAGAAGAAGATTACTCGAAAGCCGCAGAGAAGTTGCAGCCAAGTCGAAGACAAGAGAAGTTGCAGCCAAGTCGAAGACAAGAGAAGTTCTATCTTAGTCGACGAAGAAGAAGAAATACAACTCAAGTCGAAGAGAAGAATCAACTGCGAATGATCGATAGAAATTAGCCCCAGTGTCGAACCAGACCACACTCCGACATACATAATTCTGAAGAGTAGACAACTCGAAATCTTTAAGTTGTATGATAGAGGCTTGGTGCCATAGTCCACAAAGCGGGTCGGGAAATAAGAACAATTTTTCTTTATGTAACGGACATTAGATATAAAAAGGTTGTCACTTTTTTTTTTTTTATCAGTAATTTTTGTCTCGTGAGTTTTTTTTTTTTCTTTTCTTTTGTGTTTTGCCACCCCCGTCGGACTCAACTTGTATCGGCCCCAATCCCTGCTGGTCCCGTCTGTCTAAGATCTAAACACAGCGTGGGTAGACAGACCGGAGATCAGTACAGTTGCTTCAGTAACCAGGTATTGGAAGCGGGTTGGGAAAGGCGAGGCTGGTGATCATCCAACCAAGGGGTTGGAGCGGCACGCTTGGAACCAGGAGGAGCGACCAGGAGGAGCGACGTCACAGTTGGCGCCGTAACCAAAGGATTCGACCCTGGGCCAGGTGTGTAACCGTCACAATCTGTTCATACGGTTTTCAAACGGCTGAGTCGATCACGTGTTTATATGTCGAGGGCGGCCACTGACATCGGGTGATATGCCAATTTGCACGTGGTCGCTTGGCGATTATCTCTCAGGTCACCTCGCTGATGCAAATTGAGTGCAAAGTCCATTTTGGTATCATACCCTGTGAGTCACATATGACACTGACTTCTGAAGTGTGTTACTCACGATGACATCGAATTCATTCTCCAAACGTCCATTTATACATTCTTTCTCATCATAATAGCAAAAGTGTAGACATCATTCAGTTATCAAATTCATATATTATTTCATTTAAATATACATAGTATGTTTATATCATAAAAAAGAAATTATTGTTTTGGAATGAGTGAAGAGCACAATAAGGGGTGGTAATATATAAATGTAGTTAATAATAATCATAATATGAATTATCTCCCTTAGATTTTAAAATGTGCTGGTAGCGTAATGGTTATCAGTATAGATAATGGAATTGGTGAGCCGAATTCAAATTCCGGTTTCGTCTCTTGCATTCACTTTCACATTAATGCCCTTGGGAAAATTATGAATCCGTTTCTTCTTCTCGTCCTCAGCTATGGATTAAATAGCTTGAATTCGGAAAGAGAAGACATTGGGCATCATTCTACAATATATCCCAATATATTACAAAAGAAAAAGAATCTAAGTTAAACAAGCATACATTATCGAAAATCGCTTATTCTACGATATATATATATATATATATATATATATATATATATATATGTGTGTGTGTGTGTGTGTGTGTGTGTATATATATATTAATTTTTTTTTTGGTCTACTGTATGTTTGAGTTGATTTGGGTTCTTTTAGTGCGTTGCATACATATTTATACATTTGAATTCAGTCCAGTTTTGGAATTGCAATTCAGTATCAAAAAGTTATTATAAGATTAATTTCCTGTTTTCCGGTAGCCGTATGATTGAATATAATGAAAAAAAAGATAGAGAAAAACTGTGCCAATAAAAATGGTAAAGAATATTTTATAAAAAAACAAACAAAATAAAACAAAAAAAACAAAACAACCCCCTTCAAGAGAGATGAAAAACAGTCTTGGTAGGATTTCATACAAGCTACAAGCGAGGATTTCAGGATTAAACGTTTGGGTGGATTCGATAAAGTCATAACTTTTGAGGATGAGTGAAAGCTAACTTTAGCACAACACACACACACACATATATATATATAAGTGAACACTGGAGTCAGATGTGGCCTGATGATTGCGTTTAACATGAAACAGTCTGTCGCCTCTGAGTGTTGACTTCAATATTCACTTTTATATTTACATACACTCTATCTCTGATATTGAACACTTTATCTCATAAATGCAGCATACCTTAAAATATATATATATATATATATATATATATATATATATATATATATATATATATATATAATTATTTATTTAAAAATAAATAATTATATTTATGCTCTACTTTTGTATCGAGCACTATTTTTTAAAAATAATAACAAAAATTCTAAAGAACTTTGGATTATTTACCTAACGAGTTCTTTCCTATTTTCTATATATTTTTACACACACACACACACACACACACACACACACATATATATATATATATATACAGTTGTAGCCCATGTCTGTCTATTATCGAATTCCTCCTATGATTTTTGGAGACCCCCATAACCATATATTCTGAAAGTACATTACCCAGCGTACTTGGGTGAGTATATTTTATTTTGATCAAAGTGGGGCCCCTCCCACTAAAATTCTTTTTTCAGTTTGATTTAAATTAAATTTAAATTTGAACAAGGAAATGACTCCTATCCAAAATACAGAAGACGAAAGCCAGAAGATGGAGGTCATATCGGTAAGATCAAAATGACACAATATGCACGTCAAGTTATTCAGTGGGTAGTTCCTTATTATACATATTTGTCGCGACAATTCAACTGTCATATCAAAGTTGAAATCTCCTCATCAATACATTTAACCAAGTATTGCATAAAATACATATCAAAGAGGTCAGATCAAGCTATTCTTACACAAACCCTGCACTGAAATAGTTTTCCCACTGATTTAAATAAAATCTGGATTTGAACAAGGGAATGACTCCTATCCAAAATATAGAAGGAGAAATCCAGAAGATAGAGGTCACATCGGCAAGATCATTGAGGAATAGTGAAATGCATCATGTTTCCTCACAAATTATAACAATGATTTAAAATCAATCACCATTTTCTTACAAAAGTGTCTGACAAGGTGTGGGTATTTGGCCGAAACTAGTCGAGGAATCTAAATGAAATAATAATAAAAAAAAACAACAAAAAACGAAAGAATATTAATCTACAACCCAGTGTGTCTGAAGATTTTATTTTTTTAATATTTTTTTATTGTTCAATATATATATATATATATATATATATGTGTGTGTGTGTGTGTGTCTGTGTGTCTGTGTGTGTGTGTGTCTGTGTGTCTGTGTAATTTATAAAAATTTATCACTTAGCTGATTGATGTTACTTTCAGCATCTTGACTCTAGAGATATGTAGACGGTGTTCCAGCCTATTGCTCTATCCACTCGTCATGTAATATCAGCATTTATATAGTTTTTATATTCTTTCCTCTCTCTTCATTTTCCGATTTCATAATGCTTTTATTATTCCATCAGCTGTTTTTTTCGCTTTTTTCTTTCTTTTTTAATATCTTTTTTCTGACTATATCTTGTTCTTTTTTTCTTTGTTCATTTCTAGCTTTCCTTACCCTTTCATTTAATTCGTTTTCTTTCTTTTTTCTTTTCTTTCTAGATGTTCTTCTGTCCTTTTTAACTGCTGCCTTTTTCTTTTGTTTTCTTTTTTAATTTCTACCTTTACTTTCTTTTTATTTGTTCTTTCTTTCTTTTTCTTTCTTTCTTTCAACCTATGATATATTCATACCCATTTTTGATCTCCTTTAATTTATTTCTTAAAATGATTATTTAATTTTCTGTCCTTCCTTTGTTTCTTTTAAAGATTTATTTTTCTTTCTTTCTTTCTTTCTTTCTTTCTTTCTTTCTTTCTTTCTTTCTTTCTTTGTATGTCTTTTATATATTTGCTCTTTTTCTTTTTTATATATTTGCTCTCTTTCTTTTTCCTTTCTTTCTTTCAACTAATGACAGGTTCAAAAAATATTAAAGTTCTTTTATTTCTCAAAATAATTTTCTCTCGCTCCTTGTCTCTTTTCTTTCTTTCTTTCTTTCTTTCTTTCTTTCAACTTATGATATATTCATACACATTTTAGATTCCCTTTAATTTATTTCTTAAAATGATTATTTAATTTATTTAGTTTTCCTTTTTTCTTTGTTATTTTTAAACTTTTATTTTGCTTTTTTTATTTCATTTCTACCCTTTCCTTCCCCTTTCTTTTCTATTCATTTTTCTTTTAAAGATTTCTTTCTTTCTTTCTTTCTTTGTATGAATTTTATATATTTGTTTTCGTCTTTCTTTCTTTCCTTCTTTCTTTCCTTCTTTCTTTCTTTTTTCTTTCTTTCTTTCTTTCTTTCAAGTTTTTCTTCTTTCTATTCTTTTTATGTACCTTTATCATTTTCGTCTTTTTTCTTCATAAATTTCTCGCTTTTTTTATTCTTTTTTTATTTTCACTAATCTTTCTTTATTTCTTTTAGTTATCTTTCTAATTTTTCTTTTCTTTTTATTTGCTTTCTTCTTTGTTCTCCTTTTTTTTTTGTTATTTTTAAACTTTTCTTTCTTTCTTTTGCTTTTTTTTATTTCATTTCTACCCTTTCCTTCCCCTTTCTTTTTATTCATTTTTCTTTTTTTGGTTTCAGAAAGTGCGTAACGTAATAGAGAAAAATGGTTTACTGCTGTCAAGCGTCTTGCTAGGCACGTCACAGGGAGCTGTCTGCAAATTGGCTTGGGCTTGGGCAATTTCTAACGGAAGCGCTTACCGAAAGAAATTGCTCTCGGGTCACCATAACCCTGTCACCCACAAGAAATGAAAACTAGAAAAACATAATACAGATCATTGTTTGGTAATTCGAGATCTGAAACTTTTATAAAGATCAACCAAATGACTGTAGTATAGGTAGGCCTTGAGAGAAGAATAAATCTTCACAATTTGTTAAAAACAATCTTAAATGCAATGCAACAGTTTCTCTGTACATATCTATCTATCTATCTATCTATCTTTAAATAACTAGCAAGTAAGAAAGTTTTTGTAAATTTCGCAATTTATTTAACTTTATCAGATTTTTTGAAAGTGTAATGATGGGGAGTTTCTATTTAAAATTCGAGGTTGTTTTGTTTACATTAGTTGTGTATAAATAACCTTTAAATTTTATGACGTTAGTGTTTATGTATATATTATTTTTAAATTCTTGATTTTGGTTTTACTGGTTGTGTTGACGTCACGTTTATAGCATATGTCGCTTTCTCTCCATATCTATCCATCTAACTCTTTCTCTTCACATCTATCTATCTATCTATCTATCTATCTATCTATCTATCTATCTATCTATCTATCTATCTATCAGTCTATTCAAATCTATCTATCTATCTATCTATCTATCTATCTATCTATCTATCTATCTATCTTTCTATCTATCTATCTATCTATCTATCCCAGTCTATTCAAATCTATCTATCTATCTATCTATCTATCTATCTATCTATCTATCTATCTATCTATCTATCCCAGTCGATCCAAATCTATCTATCTATCTATCTATCTATCTATCTATCTATCTATCTATCTATCTATCTATCTATCTATCCCAGTCGATCCAAATCTATCTATCTATCTATCTATCTATCTATCTATCTATCTATCTATCTATCTTGGAGCTAAACTGATTGATTTTTAACGGCTTATCAAACAATTGTGGCCTTTAAATTTTATGGCGTTAGTGTTTATGTATATATTTTTTAAATATATTTTTGATCCTGGTTGTGTTGACGTCACGTTTATAGCATATGTCGCTTTCTCTCCATAGCTATCCATCAAACTCTTTCTCTTCACATCTATCTATCTATCTATCTATCTATCTATCTATCTATCTATCTATCTATCTTGGAGATAAATTGATTGATTTTTAACGGCTTATCAAACATTTGTGGCTTATTTAAAGCCGAATCATATTTCAGATTGCCGGGGGTAGCTTACTGAATCTAGTGTCCCCAGTGGTCGGAGTCGATGCTGCTTAACTTCAGTGATTGAAAGAAAACTATCTTGATGTTAGCATCAGTTGTAAATACATGCTCTTAGCTTTTGTGCTCACCCACGAAGTTGTGTATTAAATGGATATTTTCAGGAACTTTCAATATCATAAAGAGAATTAGAATAGAAGCCAAGGTGATATTAATTGTATTATATTATTTTTGAACACACACACACACGCGCGCACACACACACACGCACACACACATACATACATACATATATATATATATATATATATATATATATATGTATATATATATATATATATATATATTTGTATATACTGGGTTGTATATTAATATTCATTCGTTTTTATTATTTCAATTAGTTTCGGCCAGCATGGTCATCATTAGGAGAAAAAAAAAATTCTGGTTGTTAGCAGCAGTGAACTATAGAATGAACTTTTGTCTGTAGTTTTCATTTATTTTTTTAATTTTTTTTTAACATGAATTTTGGTCAGTCCTTGTGTTGGCCAAACAGTCTCTTTTAAGTTATTATTTAAGATAAAGGCCGATATATATATATATATATATATATATATATATATATATATATATATATTAGGGAAGATGATCACTTTCACTGGTTTCCCGTTTTTATTTTTTGATGAATCGTAATTCTAAAGTTTTATCAAGTAAACACGAACATCCAGAAAATACCACAGATATTTAGCAGTAAATAGTAGTCTTTTTTTTTCCCAATAAAAGTTAAATTTTACATGATATTTAATTGTACTATCGAAGGAAGGTGTTCTTTGTGGAAATCTTCAGTTTTATGTAACATAGGGTAGAAATTCTTCATTTCTAGCTGTTTGTGTAAAAGAAAGCGTCAAAATCTGTTGTAAAAGTACTTTTGTAAAATACACATTGAAAAATCTATTCATAGAATTACTATCAACTATAAACACTCTTTTAAAACATTACATCATATCACCGTTTTTATTACAGATCTATTATTCATGAATCTAACTTATGTCTAAAATAATGAGGATTTTACAAATTTCCCTTTTTTTAAAATTACGCATGATAAATGTAACCAAAACTAGATTATTACAACGTCTTAATTCGTTTCACCAACCTACACACAGTGAACGACCACAGACTTTCCCCACAAAAAGATGCACATACGCGAGAATATAAAAATCCAACTAAATACAAAATTATTTTGCAACATACCGCTACATTTCACCGACAAAATACGAGGGTGACATCTGTAGACTTCCCTCACATAAACAATTATACACTTACATGAATTAACGTTACCGTCCTACACACACCTGCACACACAAGTATTTCTTTACTTACACACACTTACACTATCACACAGTTTAACATCCTAAATGTGGACTTTTTTTCCTTGGATTTTTTGTTAGTTTTATTGTCATTTATATTTATAAATTCTTTTAAATTTATCAGTTCTAAACGCTGTATAATTCTTCTTATTAAACTCTAAAATAGATATATTTCATTTTTATTTTTTAAATTTTCCGCAAGCGTCTTGGACCCTTTCTACTTTTATTCCGTAATTAGCAACCAACTTAATCTAGCAACCCTGAATTTGAGCTCAACGAAAATCGTTCCCTGCATCTAACTTTTGTAGGGCTTTTGAATGAGCTATGGATTATTGAAATCAAACCAGTGGGAGCGGAGGAGATTTGGACATACACACACACATAGAGTTAATTTAAGGGGAAATTAATGTTTTTTAATCATTTCACTCGAAGCAAAGCAAGAAAGCCACTAAGACACAAGAGGTTACTGATGGTGAAATAATATACAAGAAAGAATAACAAATATTAAGGAGAGAGAACAATAAAAGAAGAAGATTTAATGACACGGAAGATAACGATCGAAACTGTATTTAAATTATTGATAATCAAAGATGACTTGGAAGCAAGAGGCTGGAAGAGAGGTCAGTATCTCCCTCCGTACTATGGTCACATGAATACAACCACTTGCATTGCAGTCCGGAATTCACATTTTGAAACATATATCAACTCCACTAAAAAGAAAATCAAAAGTTCCAAACTTAACGCATTCTGTGTTTCGTCCTTTGAAATGAGAAATTTGCATGTGTATCTTAATCTAGGATGGGGTTAAACTTTCGGGTTTCCGTTGGCTCAAACCTTTGCATTTCTTTTAATCTTTTCTCCGGAAGCAAGGCAATGAAGCCACTAAGACTCAAGTGTGAAAAATTTGAGAAACAGAAAAAAACAAAACAAAAACAAAAAAAAAACAAAACATTATTAATGAGTGAGAACAATACAATAACATGAATTAAGGAAATAGAAAATAACGATTGACATTATTTAAATTTTGAAGGTCAAAGTTGACTAGGAAGCAAAAGGCCGGAAGTGAATTCCATATGCGAAGAAGAAACTGATAGCATAGAACTTAGGGTTGCATTTAGCAATTTAAATTATAAAATGATGAGACATAACTGCCAATCTAGTACTGCGCACAAATTTGTAAAGTCGAGGTACTGAAGAAGAAGAAAGCTCAACAGAACAATTACTATGAAAATATTTAAAGAAAAGGCGAAGGGAAGCTGCATTACGGTGGTGTGAAAGTGACTGAAGCCGAAATGCCAGATCAGGACCGATAACATTGCAGATTCTCCTGTGGATTTTATCAAGAATCTCTAAATACATAACAGAAACATCAGACCAATTGTTTTAAAATTATTATGAAAATTTTTCCTGTTTATAAATTGTGAAAGTTTTTGTTATCTCGATTCCAAATAATTTTTCCATTTAATGAAGTTCAATTAATTTAAAATTAAGAATTTTCGATAGTTTTACACGAATTTACATTGATTTAACTAGAATTGATTATTGAAATTTGTGTTAGAAGAATTATCGAAACTGAATATTATCATACTTATTATAAAACCCTGGTTGTGTGTGTGTGTGTTCGTTTATATATTGGATCGGATTTCCTACATTTTTCAACCGATTTCAACAAAACTTCACAGAACTACGTAAAATTACCTTGCAGTGGTTCTGACTGCGCCAAAAATTGAAAAAAACAAACAATTGTTTTTGCACGAAATCAATTTGAAAACACGATTAAGAGGCATCGCTGTCGCGTGAATGAAAGGGGCACAACTCATATCGAATTATAGTTATTATAAAACCCAGGTTGTTTGTGTGTGTGTGTCTGTGTTCGTTTATATATGGGATCGGATTTCCTACATTTTTCAACCGATTTCAACAAAACTTCACTTTTTTTTGGCAGGTAGTGTTTCTTATTGTCTTGCACACTTTTTTCTTTATTTTTACATTCAGTATGCTTTAAAAATTCCATTTACAAGACAATTGTCTATAATAAAATTCTATTCAATCGGTAGACTCATAACAATTGAAAACAATGTTTTTGTTTGAGTTTGGGTTTGACCAATTCGTAAAAAAAAACAAAAAAAAAACACTATTTAAGACATGCGTGTCCGTCAACCTTAAACAATAATCTTTGTCAATTTTATTTTTCAGTCTTTATAATGGTCGATACTTGATCTATCTCTTACTGTTACATCCCTGGAAACGCCGGGATCTACTGCTAGTATATAATACATATAATTATAATATGTATAATTATAATATATATATATATATATATATATATATATATATATGATATACAATAATAAATATAATATCTATAATCATTAAAATTAATATACAATATTAATTGTAGATATATAATTAAAATTAATATATAATATTTATAATAATTGTAATAAATATATAATTATATATAATTATATATATATATATATAATTATAATATATATAATATATAACAAGTATAATATTTATAATAATATAATATATATATATTAATTATAATGAAAGCAACGATAATGGATATATTGTAATAATAATATATATCTTTAATCTCGCATAATCTGGCAACCCTGATCTGAGCACAACGAAAATCGTTCCCTGCGCCTAACATTTGTAGGACTTTTGATTGAGCTACGAATCATTAAAATCGGACAAGTGGGAGCGGAGGAGTTGTTTGGAAACATACACGCGCAAACACACACATACAATTTACTTCATATATAAGATAATATGTATAACATACTTATGTTATAAATTTTTTATAAAAAATTATATATATATATATATATATATATATATATATATATATATATATATAACTATACAGTTATATAAATTATACATTAACGAGAACTTTTTGATTTTTATGTTGAGCGATGTAAACTTTATATATTTTTCTATGAAGTTGTAATCTATTTCTATTATATTTTCTTATTGATTTTTCTGTCAGCTTTGAGCGATGCATCGTAAAGTTTGGCGAGACATCTCGAGATCTCAAAGCCCCCATCGGCGAGTATAAGGGATATCTCCATTGGGACAACACTTTAAACTCGCTTGTTATACACAGGAACAAAACTAGCCATTACTTTCATCTTACAAATACCAACCTAATTTAATAAAAGAACAATTATTTATGTCGAAAATACTTCAAGGCAGTCCTGATAAGTATTTTACCAACTATAAATACACGCCAAAAACACTATATGACATCACCAACCTTTTTAATATACATTTTTAAAGAATCTAACGTATGCCTATTTACCATTGCCGTCTTGACGTAAAAACATCTCCAAATCATCATGTGTGTATCGCCAAACATAAATAATGCTTACTACTACTACTACTACTACTACTACTACTACTACTAATATTAATAATAATACTTCTACTAAACACACACACGCATGTACTCGCGCGCGCGCACACACACACTTAAGAATATACATTACATCTGAATCCAGTATAGACTACCTAGAAATTATGATACACTACCACACATGAATTACACACACTAACGGTGCTTGACAAGTCAAATGCACGTGAAGTCTGTTTAACGAATGAAAATTAAACTGAAAACTAAATACACCAGAATTTCTTTTTCTCCACATCTCTTTCTCTTAATAAAAGTGAAATATGTTTGATTGATAAATGTTTCCTATTTGTTGTTTGTCATATCATTCTGTCGGATTCATATCCATATTTGATCTGCATTAGATCCTAACTAGTATTAAAGTCTCTATATATTTCTTAAGATTTCTATAACTTTTCCATATTCTGCTATTATCTTTTTTATTGATTTTTGTGTCAGTGTTGAGCGACGTTTCTATATATTACTATAAAGTCTTTCTATATTTCTCTACACTTTATATATATTTCTATAATGCCTTTATATAGCCCTATAAAATTTCTATATATTAGGCTTTCTTATTAATTTTTGTGTCAGTGTTGGGCGATGTATGGTAAAGTTTCTATATGTTCCTGTAAAGTTTCGATATATTCCTATAACGTTACTTTATATTTCTAAAAAGCTTCTATATATTCCTATAAAGTTTCGATATATTTCTATTAGGTTTCCTTATTGATTTTTTGTCAGTGTTGAGCGTGTACAGTAAAGTTTCTATATATTCCTGTAACGTTTCTATATATTCCTATAAAGCTTCTATATATTCCTATAAAGTCCCTACACATTTCTTAAAGCTTCTATATATATCTATAAAGCTCTATATACTCCGATAATATTTCGATATAATTCTATTATTTTGTCTTATTGATTTTTTGTGTCAGTGTTGAGCGATGTATAGTAAAGTTTCTATATATCTCTATAAAGCATTTATGCATATCTCTACAGTTTCTATATTTTATATAAAGCCTCTATATATTCTTATAAAGTTTCTATATATTTTTATTATGATTTCTTATTAATTTTTATGTCAGTGTTTAGCGATATATAGTTAATGTTCTATATACTTCTATAAAGCATCTTTATATTTCTATACAATTTTAATACATTTCTATTATATTTTCATACAGATTTTTGTGTCAGTGTTAAGCGAGGTATAGTAAAGTTTCTATATATTCCTATAAAGAGTCTATATATTATAAAGTTTCTATACATTTCTATAAAGCTTATATATATTCGTATAAAGTTTCTCTAAACACTATCATGTATTCTCATTGATTTGTGAGTCAGTTTACAAAGTAAGTTTATATATATAGTTGTATAACGCCTCTAAATATTCCTATAAAATTTCTATATATTCTATAAAGCTTATGTATATTCCTATAGTTTTTATATATTTCTATTATTTTCTCATTGATTTTTGTTTCAGTGTTGAGCGATGTATAGTAAATTTTCTATATATTTCTATAAAGCCCCTATATATTTATATAAATTTCCGATATTTTTATTATGATTTCTCATACATTTTTGTGTCCATGTTGAGCGATGTATATCAAATATTTATATAATGCTATAAAGCTTCTATATATTCTTATAAAGTTTCTATATATTTCTATTATGATTTCTTATTGATTTTTGTGTCAGAGTTGATCGCTATATAGTATCATTATGATGTCCTTTCTTCAAATCGCAGTTGCCTGAACTGAAAGTCATATCCTTGAAATATACGTTATGAAGGCAAATTAAATAAAACTAAGCAAGGAAATGAATAAAATATATAAATGTCACTAGTAAACATTTTAAAGTTTTGTTTTTTTATTTTGAAAATTAATTTTAAAATTTTATATGTAGAATAAAATGAAACGCCTATGTATTTCAGCATAACTGAATAAGTTGTTTGAGACAGATATAATTCTACAGAAAGATGCTGAGAATACCATTGACGAAACATGTGAGCAATGAATGATGTTTTCCTTAAAACTGAGGCAAAAAAAAAAAAAGGATTAAAAAATGGGCAATAACGTTACAAGAAATAAAGGAAACAATGTTGAACTGCTATGTAGGATAATTCCTTTTATATGCCAGACAATTACTGGACAATTTCCTCACAGATTAAGAGGAGGTATGGGTCAACAGAGAGGTAGAGGGTTACTGTGTGGGGTTGTATGAGCGTAAGAAAGAGCAAGAAGGTGAAGTTCTTGGGGCTATACGGGAAAGATAACGGTTAACTCTAGACTTGAAGAGGTCAAAATTGTTGTGATTAGGAAAACATAAACGAATGAATAGACTTTAGAAGGAACCGGAAATATAATTCTGAACAGGAAGGAAGGGATAAATCTCTAATCCCGTTCAGTCTAACCTATCTGCTCCTATTGGGAAATAGTAAACAAATAATTAGTGAAAATATCAGAGTTCAATCAAAGAGGTTAGATGTATAGAGGTGAAGTTGACTTTAGAAGAAACCAGAAACCCAATTCTAAATAAGAAACAAGGGATAAACCTCTACTCCTGTTCAAAAGATCAGGGAGGAGTGTGAACCAAGCGATAATCATATTGGTGATTAGATATTACGTAGCACTTCATTACTGTTTTTTTTTTTGGTTCTAACAATTTTTCCTATCTCTTAATATTTTGCTTAGTTTCTGGAGCGCATCATTCGCTATTACTTTGTATCTTCGGATTTCTATGTCACATTTTCAGTCAGCTGTTATTACACTGTAATGTGCTAAATTTCTGCACTGGCTTTGTCGTCCTTAATACGTAACTCAAAACTTGCTGACTCTTTTGCTGATGACCATTCATTCTGTCTTCTTTCAGTTAATAATTAGTCCTTTTCTTTTGGCTCACCTTTACAATCTAACTCTCTATCCCTGTTCAAAAGACGGGAGGAGTGTGAACCGGACGAGAGGCAGAACTATCTACTCCTATTCTCAGAAGTGTGCTGGGAATAGGATAGACGAAATATGTGAGCAATGAGAAAATGCTAAGGAAAATAGCGAGGAAAAAAGAATACTTGTACTTAGAATGAGAAGGAGACAGTTGGATTTTCTGGAACACATAATGATGAGCCAGGACTTTGAGAATTCACATGGCATATTGAAGGAATCATCGACTAAAGCTAGCTAGCGAGCTTGTGTAAATACGTTGAAGAATAGGCACTTCGAGGGATAGTTTAAAAGACAAATATTGCTAAGAGCTACAAGAGTGAAGAACTATTGTTGCCCAAGTCCGAAAGTGAAACAGCATATAAAAGAAGAAGAAGTCTAAAACGAGATCCCAAATAATAAAATTACCGGTTTGAAATGATGGGTTTATCAAAGAGGAAGGTATATTTTCCTTTACTTTTTCTATTTGACTTTGATTGTCAGAAGCTGTCATCATGCCAATACTGCCATTCTCACGCAGGTGTTTGTTATTGCTCTTGTAACCTGATCTAAAAGAGAGGGTGAATGCGAGAATGCAAGAGAGAGAGAGAGAGAGAGAGAGAGAGAGAGAGAGAGGGGGGGGAAGGAGAGAAGAAGGCATAGCAAGAAAAAGAGGAATAGCGTGGGAAAGAAAAATAATGGAGTATGATTGAGAGGAAGAGAATGAAGAACATTGCGTGCGAGACAGAAAAAGAATGAATAGTGAGTGAAAGGGACAGTGTGTGTGTGTGAGAGAGAGAGAGAGAGAGAGTGAGAGAGAGGAAGAGAGAGAGAGAGAGGAAGATGGATAAAGGAAGAAAGAGAGAAAGAGTGAAAAAGTAAGAGAGAGAGAGAGAGAGGAATATAAAAGTGAAAGAAAAATAGATAAAGAAAATGAGAATGGTAGAAACATTCAGGGATTGGAGTAAGAGTGAGAGTGAGAGAAATAAGAAGTGAGAGAATAAGTGAAAGAGAGAAAAAAAGAAAGAAAAGGAAGTAAGTTAAGACAATAAGAAGGCGAGAGAGAGACAGAGAGAAAGGGAAATGAAGAGAAACGTCAATTGTGTGAGACAAAAAGAAAATGAAATAAAAGAGAGAGAGAGAGAAGAGAGAGAGAGAGAGAGAGAGAGAGAAAGGACGATAACCCTTACTTTAAATATGAAATTATAATTATGTTTTTATTAGAAGACTACCTCCTAACGTAACCCTCTGCCTCGTGTGGCTACCGGGTCTTGTACAGGGTGAACCTTAGTGTAAAAAAACTGACCAGAGACAATATCATCTGATGTAGAATTTCTTCATATATTATAAGTATTTATTGTATATTGTTGCATTAAATATTTAGATCCAATTTGCAAATTTATGTAAAAATTCGAAATACTTGTTTAGAAAATATTAGTTTTTATTGCTTCTAAGCAACACTTTTGGTTTATTATTCGTCCTTTAAGAAAGGTAAAAATTCGCGAAAAAAGATTTGTGCCAACTATGGATAAGGTATTGTGAATGATCGAACATGTAAAAATTGGTTTGCTAAGTATCACGTTGGAGATTTAATGGATGCTCTACTGTTGGGTAGACCACACAGAGTTAATAGCAAGCAAATGTGGATATTACATGAGAATAATCAACGTTGTAAGACGTGTAAAATAGCCACGGTATTTAAAATGAATCATTAGAAAGTATTTGCATCAGCTTGAGTATGTTAACTGTTTTGATGTGTATCACTATTTGTTAAAACAAATAGTGACGGACAATGAAAAGTGGATAGTTTACAGCAATGTGAAACACGCCGGATCGTGAGATGTGCTAAAGGAGCCACTATTAATCGTATTAGAGTCAGGTCTTCGTTTAATAGAAAGTGATTTTGTGCATTTAGTGAGACTGGAATAGAATCTTCTATTATAAGACGAGGAGCTTGTGATCTTCTAGATAAACAAAAGAATAATTCGAACAAGTACTGCTGCCGGTTAAGCCAAATGAAGATAGTAAACGACGAAAAACATTCGTTCGGAAATAGTTAACGAAAAGGGCGGTTAATAAATTTGTGAAGATTGAGTAAACCGTTTTAATACGTTCATTGTTCTTATTAACTATTTCATATTCGGATGAGGATTTATTTCGCTCTTTGCTGAATTCTCAATTGTACAGCAGTTCTTTGCCGTGAAAAATGAAAAGATCTGCAGTGATGGGATTATAATGTTGCTTGTGTCGGAGTTACCTCCTCCTTCTATCCTTGAACCGGCAGAGGAACAGGTCATTTCGACCATGACCTCTCATTCATGCTCCTTACACACTGTTAACACGTCGGAGGGACTAGCAAATCCCCTTTTTAGTTAGTTTATATTACAAACCTAGTTGTAATATACTACTAGTCATTTTTAGACCTTAGTTCTCTCTAGCTAACCTCGTAGTATTTTATTATAGAGACTTTTCGGTTAGCTTAGCCAATTTCTCTTGCTGGTCTCCCTTGTCACAAGACAGTGATTTCTTGCTAGATTCTGGGAGGCGGTCGGCGACCGAAACTGTCGGCTACGCAGGCCCCTTGGCCTTCATTGGCCAAGGACGCCGATCAACGGGCTGTGTATTAAGTTACGCTCCCATTTTTTTTGTCTGCCAACTTGACTTGAAAGTGGCTAGTGGAATAGAACTAGAAATGAGTTGTACAATAACATTAATGCATAAGGTAAAATAAAATGTCTTTTACTTTTACTTAATAAACTGAAACAACCTTTACGTTATACATTATCTTAGAATGCCTGTTGACATAGCGTTAATGGTATTTTCTCTAACACATCATTTAGTCACAATTATATGAATCTGCTGTTTTATTTTGCGCGCCAAATGCACCAAACTCAGCCATACGTCCACACACAGAGGTGGTTAATAAATCATCAACATTCTTATCCTTCTCCCCTACATCAGTCATTACGACATTAAAATGTTTTATGTCACATTTCTACGATGTTTTATGTGGTTGCGTATCTGGCCGAAACGGATGTTTGATACCTTTGTCCGGTAGGGCACAACATCATTACCGTCGTTACGTTAGCTTCCACATCTTACTTGGGACCAATGTATGCAAGTTGGTATCTCCCTCTGCCTATTACTGAAAGTCAAATTGGTTGGACATCCATTACTTTCCCGTCCGCGGTGACGTGGTTTCCCTGTCATTTCGATCAACATTTTTTTTCATGGCAGTTCTAAGGAATTCTCTTCCTTCATATGGCGACCGCGTGAATTTAAGCATCGCACTAGATTGGCTACTGGATCTCATCGCTTTATTGTTTCTGGATATTTATCACAGAATTTGCATTTCGGGTTAACACAATTATTCAGCATCTGCGCTTGGTAATTTCTAATTAGCAAGCATTGGTCCTGTGCCGCAAGAAAAAAACCTTTGGTTTCAGCTTTTAACCCTGAACTACATAATCACTGATGGGTACGTGGTCTCTCTACAACAGCTTGTTTGGTACGGGATGAGTATTAACCATGTGGTACAAGCAGAGTATTAACCATGTGGTCCGGGCAGAATATTGACCATGTAGTACAAGCAGAGTATTGACTATCTGGTCGGAGCAGAGTATTGACCATGTGGTATAAGCAGAGTATTGACCATGTGGTTTGGGCCAGGTATTGGCTATGTGGTACAAGCAGAGTATTGACCATGTGGTCCGGGCAGAATATTAACCATGTTGTACGGGCAATGTATTGACCATAGAAAATAATCGACTATAATTCCATGAGTATCTGTCTATATTTCTGAGATGAGGTATTATGTACCCTATGTATTGTTCGGACTATCATACTCATCTTTGTTGCCATATTTATCACAACGTTTCGGCTGTTGTACGCTCCGGCCTTCTTCAGGTGGTTGGAATGTCGAACTGAACCCTTTATTTCGCTCGCTGGGGTATATTGTTCTAGTTCCACGTGCCATGTCTAATGGATAATTCCATGAGTCAATAAACCTGGCTTATATTCAATAGATGAGGTTTGATCTGCAATTCTCAATGTATAGATTTATGCGATTCAAGTGGCTTGACTGAAAACATATACTTTGGCAAAATAAATACGTTTTTCGTCATTATGCTGTGAATAATTTAGCTATGTATATTTTCGCTAATTTCCACACAGTCGATATAGCTCGCGGATATTACCTGAATTCTTCATGCCTGCTTTCTCCAAAAGAATTCTACATTTGCCACAAGCTTCATTAAGAGAGAAAATGAAGTATCTAATAAAAAGCCTATTAAAAAATACAGAATGCTTTCATTATATAATAAGGTAACTTAAAACTCTTCAACTTCTGCAAGGAAACAAATGCTGTGAATAAAAAGAAAAAGAGGCAAGAATAAAAAAAGAAACAATCCTTTTGGTGTTTGGAAGATGAAGTTTCACATAATTTAGGAATTGCATTTCGTTCAAACTCAATTCTCTTTTGTACAAGAATTCCAGATGAAGAGATTCAAATTTACTTTAAAACTGAAAACCAATTTTAAACTGCGGCAGATTTGAATTGAGTCAATTTCTCATAATTTCCTATTTACTTTTTTCCACTTCCTTTCTGGCAAGATCATTTTTCTCAGAAATATAAGGTTTTCTTTTGTCTAGCCTACAGTCGTATGAAACGAATCAAAGGAACTGTTTTGAGCGTTACAAATTCCTATATGCATACGTACATACATACATACATAGTTATAGATATGAACAAATGAGTATGAGTATATGTATATATACAATTATATGTAATTCTTGTTAAAGATTCCATTTTAGCATATCGATAATTTCCCATAATGCATTTCATACATGTATTAAAACACAGACGTACATACACACATACCGACTCTACTGGAATTTGTATATCCATGTACATATAAGAGTACATGCTGTAGTTTTTCTTTCTGGCTTTTTGCAGATACGCCATCTTTCTTTTTATCAGATACGCTTTCTTGCTTTCCTTCTTTTTGTCAGGTATGCTTTCTTTCCTTCCTTCCTTCCTTCTTTCTTTCTTCCTTTTGTCATATACGCTTTCTTTCTTTCTTTCTTTCTTTCTTTCTTTCTTTCTTACAGATACACTTTTTTCTTTTTGTCAGGTACGCTTTATGTCTAGCATTCTTTAGTTCTTTTCTTCCTTTTTTCTTTCTTTTTGTCCAATACACTTTCTTTCTTTCCTTCTTTCTTTCTTTCTTTTGTCATATACACTTTCTTTCTTCCTTCCTTCCTTCCTTTCTTTCTTTCTTTCTTTCTTTCTTTCTTAGAGATACACTTTTTTTCTTTTTGTCAGTTACGCTTCATGTCTAGCATTCTTTAGTTCTTTTCTTCCATTTTACTTTCTTTTTGTCTAATACATTTTCTTTCCTTCTTTCTGTCTTTTTGTCAGATAGGCTTTCTTTGTTTCTTCATTCTGCCACGCATTCTTTCTTTCTTTCTTTCTTTCTTTCTTTCTTTCTTTCTTTCTTTCTTTCTTTCTTACAGATACGCTTCCTTTCTCTTTGTTAGATAGGCTTTCTTTTTCTTTCTCTCTCGCATTCTTTATTCCTTTCTAAATTGCATTAAAATCTCCAAAACCCACACCTAAATAGATACATACAATCACAGATATTTACGTTAACAGGGCACTTTTTCTTAAAACGAAAGCATGCTTTCAAAGCCAGGACGTCATTTTAAGCGGGAGAATTTCGGCGCGAAAGTAAGAAAAAGTGAATAATAATGGATGGTTGCAGAGGCAATTTACAACCTTTCAGTCAACGCAGTTGAAGTGAACGCCATTCTTAATGTTTAATAGTCAGGTGTTTGTCGCTGGGGGCCATATTTTCCCGCGCTTCACCTGATTTTCGGGAAGAATGGAGAACATTTCACACAAAGTTTAAGAAGTGGCTGATATATTGGTGGAATTTTGGGTAGAAAATACGAAAGAAATTAAATTAGATTTAATATCGATCAATCTATCTCGCCAATGAGCGAAAAATAAAGAATCTGTAAACGAGCTGGCCAAGTAGATAGATAAGCAGGAATATATATATATATATATATATATATATACACACACATATATATATGTGCGGGTGTGTGTGTCTATGTGTCTGTGTCTCTGTGTTTGATTTTCTCTAAAGTGTATATATGTTGTGACATGCACATAGAAAGTAATGTATAGGATAATAATTAATATGCACGAATTCGTGATCCCCCATACACTCACACACACGCACACACACACACACACACACACACACACACACACACATATATATATGGGAATCCATCGTTTGATCCTGTGCGCTTTAATGAACAGCCACGGAAAACGTCGTTGTAAGTAAGACTACAGTTTACCTTCCTACAAAGGAAGATGCAGCGTCGATCACTGCCTGGGGATGCATTTTCATTACTAAGATTTCGAATGCACAGACCAATAAACGTAATACGTATTGTTTAATAAATGAAAACGAGGCTTGTATTTCATATATGAAGTATCCACTATCATAACGTTTAAAGTAATATAAATGTATAATTCCATTAATATATATATATATATATATATATATATATATATATATATATATATATAAAAGATTTGGCTAACTACATGAAATGTTTATATACCTTTATTTTATTGAAAAGTTAAGCTTGCTTAACAGTATGGTTTTATAAGTAGTATTTGTAGACCTTTGTAACTGGAAATACATATACACGTTTTAATCAGCTTGAAATTGAAAAAAAAGCCCATGCAAGTCATCTTGAAGCTGAAAAATCCTGCGCAAAACATAAATGCTCTGAGATAATAATGTTAAGATAATATGTAAATTCTTTAGCAGAAATTGTTCCATCTAATTAATATGAGTGTAAGATGTTTTGCTAATTCATTTATATAGAATATCAGCTAGCTTTTTTACACTAAAAGTAATGGCTAAATTTTATGATGAAACAAAAATGAAGCTTTTGACTTTGAAGTGGAAGGTAACTCAATGACAGATAACTAGGCGGGTAGAAACAGTTTTCAAACCACCCAAAAGATGTTTGCTACTACTGGATGTGTTTTAATGACAAATAAAACCAGAATACAGCAAAAGTTAAACAAGAGAGATGAAAGAAAGAGCTTCGGTAGGTAATCCCAAATTAACAACCAGACAAGTGAGGATTGAATGCAGTGTTAACAGTGAAGTTTCAGTTGATACAATACAAAGAGTATTATGAAAGACATGGACGAGCGTATAATGGCATAAATAAAATCAAAATAGAAGTCGTCGAAAGAACATCTAACACGGGATGCTGTAAATTAGCAAAAGTAAGTTTTAGTAATGAATGCAAAATAGAGTTTTATTCTCATGCAAGAGAATATGTCAGAAGATCAGTGGGAGAAAGAAAAAATGCAATATACACCACAAAGATGATAAAATTTGGTGGTGGACATGTAGTGGTGTGGGGTTGCAACAAATGCGATGCTAAAATTAGTAAAAGTTGATGGAAACTAAACAACGAAAATTATACTAGTTTATTACGTTCTAATCTTCTGCTGGATTTTCAAAATGGAGAAACCTTTCAGTATGACGGTGTTCTTTGCCATACATCACGTGTAACAAATGGTTTCTTGTAGATGAAAGTGTTCAACTTTTGGAAGACTCGCCAGCACAATATAAATGAATCATTGCGGTGGGATCCGAAGAAATAAGTGCTCCAAAGAAAAGCAGACAATCTTCATGAAAAAAAGAGAAACACTAGGCATTTTCTATTCATCGAATTCAGGCAATTATTCTTGCCAAACGCAGTAACACTAATTAATAACCGCATACTTTGATGTTCTTTACTTTTTGTAATAATAAAGATCACTTTTTGCAAAACTTTTAATTTAAGAACAAAACTGAAGGTGGAAATTTTAGATGGTGACGCAGTATTTTTGCATGTCCTGTTTTCAACATCACTATACTGAACGAAAATTCAGTAACGTGTTTTCAGGATCTCAAGAATCATAAAGTATACTTATGAATGCATACTGTTAATCATTTTCGAATTTTGGTTGAAATTAACAAAAGTAATGAAATTACCAATGTGGCCTAAAATATTTACGCGAATATATATATATACACACACACACACACACACACATATATATATATATATATATATAGAGAGAGAGAGAGAGAGAGAGAAATAGGAGAGATTGGGATATATATATATATATATATATATATATATAAATATGCGAACTCACAAGCATTATCATAATGAACTAACAAACATTATATATAAAAAGATATAGGTCTATATACGGCTGAAACTACAAAGTCAGAACTGCAGAAAAAATAAGAAAAGAAATAATAAAAACCTTTAAAACTATTGCATTTACAATATATATAAAATCCAATAAAAATTGGTAAATTTCTCAGATATAATATTCGACCTAAACCGCGGAACCTACACACCATGCACAACAAAAAACAAACAACAAACCAATATACATTAACAAAATTTCCAACCAACCCCTAATCTATTCATACCATTAGAGAATGATCATTTTCACCCGTGAATTTTAAATTTTAAATTTGCGGGTGAAAATAATCACTCCCTAATGATATCATAATACCAATTGTAGGAAATAGTTTGCTCTGTTTAAAGAAAATAAACATTGAAAGCTTTTTTTGTAAGTCAGTTTTAACATCTAATAATTAATA